TTGGTGCAGATTTCAAATGTAGGTTATACGCAATAAATAAATAAATGAACTTATGTTCATTTACTTATGTTGTTTCAATCTTGTGTGGTTTTCTTTGTTCTGCAAAACACAAAAAATGTATACAATTTTTGTTTGTTTGTTTGTTTTTTGTCCATATGATGAAAGTCAAAGAGGTCCAATGTTCTTTAAAAATGTCTTCTATACAACACAAAATATATGTTCTTATACTACATCATGTGACAACTTGCCCCAATCTGATATTTATGTCAAATACTCATTCCACAGTTCAAATCTGCCTTCATCATATGGTGACTCGTCAGTGTGACTTTATTGCATTTATTCAACAACTACAGCAAAATACATTGGAATTTTATTTAGATGAACAAATTCACAAAACTTTATTCTAACTGCTAGAATACAAGCATGACTTAAAAGCTGCTAGTTACTATACTTAGATATTGTGACAACTAGCCCCAGTTTACTCGCAATGCGTCCGTTAAACTTCCATAATGGCATTCTCTTAGAAATCTGCAAACCTCACGTATTTCCCTAAATTACCAGCTTATATCCATGACTTTATTTCTCATTGAACACTATGAGGAACATGTAAAGTGGTTCGAGAGTCTGCTGATAATGAAATAATAAGGAAAAATCTATGTTTTTCCTCTTATTCCTCCTGTTAGAGTAAAGCAGCTCTGCAGCAGCACCATGTGTTCATTATATGATGTTCTTCACACATTAAGACCACGGTTTATCAGCAACTGATGATAGATAACCTGCTGCACAACAATGAAACACAAATGGAAACAGATAGAAATGCTGCCTTAGCAACTAGCTGAAATAAAGACAGAATCACCATCATTTAATACACATAGTTAACTTATCTGAAAATTAAACATCTCACAAACATTTAATCAAAGTATTATTTGCTGTACGTTTGTGCCATGACAGATCAGGACGTAAAAACAACACTGATTTTACGGCATTATTTCAATTTCATTAACTGTATTATTTTCCAATAATATTTTATTGCGACTTTGATTATCCTTCATTTTAGACCATTTTAAATTAAACTTGTTTCCTTTTTTATATTTGTATTTTAAAATGTATGTTTATATGTCTCTTTTTCTTATAATACATTATCAGCCATAAATTTGGGCCAGTGTCATTGATATTTACATTTACATTTTAGTCATTTTGCAGACGCTTTTATCCAAAGATCAATAAAAGTTCCTTCATTTCATGTAATGTTATTTAAATCAGAATTTACATTTACATTTAGTCATTTAGCAGACGCTTTTATCCAAAGCCACTTACAAATGGGGAATACATAAAGCGATTCTTCTTAAAGAGGCTAACAGACAAAGGAAGTGCTTGTAATACCAAGTTTTAGGCATTGTTCAAATAAGTACAAACTAGAAAAGGGAAGGAATAAATAAAGAGAAAGATTAAGTTTTTTTAAAGTAGTCCAGCCTAGAAATGACAAGGGCCTGGACAAGAAGTTGTGAAAGAGTTGTGAAAGGTTGTGTTAGAAAGGACCTGATCTTTCTGATGTTGTGCAATGCAAACCTGCAAGATCGGGCAGTCTTTGCAATGTGGTCTTTGAAGGTCAGCTGGTTATCGAAGATTACACCAAGATTTCTAACCGAAGTCTATGGGGTAATTGTAGAAGAACCTAGCTGGATGGTGAAATCATGCTGTAGATATAGTATAATAATTTCTGTTAATATTCTAAATTAGATTTTATTTTTATATTTTTGGTTTTCACTAAAGGTTTACTAATATTGTTGAGTGTTTTTGTCGTTTTTATTAGCTTTGTTTTTAAATATGTCTGTATAGTTTTTATTATTTTTTTATTTATTAGATTTAGTCTTAGTAGTTTTGGTATCATTTATATACTGTTATAGTTTTGTTAATATTTTGAATTATGTTATTTTTAGATTTTATGTTTTCTTTTTTTTCTAAAGTTTTGTCATTTTTATGCATTTTAGTTTTTTTATGTATTTCTATATATTGTGTTATTTTTTATTAATACGTTTAATTTTTCTTTAATTTTAGTTATTTTAATAAATCAAGTAAAAAAATGAGAAATGTTGTCTTGGCAACTAAATAAAGTGAAATATTTAACAAATATTGCCTTTTTTTATTTCTGTTCATTTTTTTTATGGTTTTAGTTAACCACAATAACCCTGGTTTAGAAACACCTAATTTTTCATCTATTTACCAATAAATTTAACAATTTGCTACATTTAAGCTTCTTCTATGTCTAGATTCCAGCTCTGTAATTCACATGCATGCTGCTTACTTGTTTATATATAAATTTATTTTTTTTAAATATATCTCCATTCTTTATACAGTATTTTTTTATTTTATTTGTGCATTTACTCATTAAAGGTAAATGTGCGAGTGCAGCTTTAAGTTGGAAGCACTACACATGATTAGGTTAGTTAAGTCTTTGTTCATTTATTGGCTCATCATGAGACGAGTGTGGTCTGCAGTGGAACGATCAGGAGACAAAGCACACGATAGCAAAAATAATGCACAGAAACATATGATGGCCTACAGGTCTTCTGTTTCCGTCATCAATGTACAAAACATGTTTTAGCCTGCAGTTAAATGTGTGACTGATCCCAGGACTAGCAGTCTTTCTTCTGGTGATTGTTTTTGCATGTTTTATGACTGAAACAATTAAGAAAAAAAAGAGAAGAAAAGGTGCAACACTCTCAGAGTCGCTGTAATAAAAGTTTGAAAACGAAGACTGATTATCCTTATTTGGAATCTGAATGTTGCTGAGCTGCAAATCTTACACAGTCTCAGTCGGAGGATTCAGAAAGGTTTTGGTCAGTGACCCGGTTAGTCACAAGAACGACCCGCTGGGGCGGCTGCAAAGATCTACACGCTCACACACGCGCAAGTTTTGTCATTTTTATGCATTTTAGTTTTTTTATGTATTTCTATATATTGTGTTATTTTTTATTAATACGTTTAATTTTTCTTTAATTTTAGTTATTTTAATAAATCAAGTAAAAAAATGAGAAATGTTGTCTTGGCAACTAAATAAAGTGAAATATTTAACAAATATTACCTTTTTTTTTATTTCTGTTCATTTTTTGTATGGTTTTAGTTAACCACAATAACCCTGGTTTAGAAACACCTAATTTTTCATCTATTTACCAATAAATTTAACAATTTGCTACATTTAAGCTTCTTCTATGTCTAGATTCCAGCTCTGTAATTCACATGCATGCTGCTTACTTGTTTATATATAAATTTATTTTTTTTAAATATATCTCCATTCTTTATACAGTATTTTTTTATTTTATTTGTGCATTTACTCATTAAAGGTAAATGTGCGAGTGCAGCTTTAAGTTGGAAGCACTACACATGATTAGGTTAGTTAAGTCTTTGTTCATTTATTGGCTCATCATGAGACGAGTGTGGTCTGCAGTGGAACGATCAGGAGACAAAGCACACGATAGCAAAAATAATGCACAGAAACATATGATGGCCTACAGGTCTTCTGTTTCCGTCATCAATGTACAAAACATGTTTTAGCCTGCAGTTAAATGTGTGACTGATCCCAGGACTAGCAGTCTTTCTTCTGGTGATTGTTTTTGCATGTTTTATGACTGAAACAATTAAGAAAAAAAAGAGAAGAAAAGGTGCAACACTCTCAGAGTCGCTGTAATAAAAGTTTGAAAACGAAGACTGATTATCCTTATTTGGAATCTGAATGTTGCTGAGCTGCAAATCTTACACAGTCTCAGTCTGAGGATTCAGAAAGGTTTTGGTCAGTGACCCGGTTAGTCACAAGAACGACCCGCTGGGGCGGCTGCAAAGATCTACACGCTCACACACGCGCAAAACACACTACATTCATTTACTTCAACCATTTTTTTTTTTTAAATAAAACCAGAAAATACAAAAATAAAAGGTAACTCAAACATCAATAAATACTATAACAGTATATAAATAATACTAAAAACACACAGTCATACATTAAATGAGATATAAAAAACAAAGCTGACTGGAAATATATAAAAAAAATAAATAAATAAAAGCACATAACAACATTACCAAAACGTAAACTAAAATAAAAAAAGAAAATATAAAAATAAAAGCTAACTCAAACATTAATAAATAGTGTAATAGTATATAAATAATACTAAAATAACACTGTCATACTTTAAATGTGATTTTCGTGTGCAAATACTTTTTGGGGAGTTAAAATAATACAATGAATAAAACTTAATAAAAATAAAGCTAAAAGGAGTTTATATATATATATATATAAAACTTAAAAAAATAAATGTAAGCTAAATATTTAAATATAACAAGCACATAACAATTTTATTTAACCTTCAATTAAAATTAAAATGGAAAATATAAAAAAAAAGAATATTAACACTGGCACATAACAACAATAAATGAAACATAAAAATAAAATAAAAAAATAAAATAAAACAATAAATTAAATATAAAAAAAAAATAAAAAAATAAATTAAATATAAAAATTAAAGTTAATTCAAAATATTAATAAATACTATAATAGTACATAAATAATACTAAAAGAACACTATAATACATTACATGAGATTCTACTGTCCACATACTTTTTGGAGTCACTTTGTCTGCATCAGTTTATTTTTTCCTGACTGAAACTGAATCATATGAGTTATGCATTGAGAATGGGCAACTCATAAGATTCATAAGATTACGACTGAGAATATTTTTCAGAAACTAATTTCAAAACCATCCTTTGATATTAGTCTAAAACATCAGTGCATCAGAAGGAAACCTACATAAATTTCGCTCATACCCAGGAGTGATAACATGAAATTGTTTTATCTGCTCTAGATGAGTTGAATCCATTGTGAAACGTTTCCTCGGGGCTTTTGAGCAGCATTAGTGCAACAAACAGTTTCTGTGTCAGGTGACTACCACGGGACGGCTGTAATAATCCTCCCATGTTCCACTTGGCCAGAGCATATAAGGCACTGATGGGCTTGAGCTCTGTGAATATGCATGTAATGTGTGGACACAAGCTATTATAGACCGTCAGCCGTTACCGATACGCTCAGAACTGCATGTAATCATTAAAAACACATTTACTTGTGATTAGTAGCGTGCTGCGGCATTTGAGGGAGACCCTGAGAAACTTAAAGTGGACTGAATAAGATCCTCCAGATATGAGGAGGTCGATTGTGTTGGCTGTGATTTACAGTCTGGGATGGACTTACAACTGCACGCCTCTAAAACTACACTGAACTTAAAGCATATTCTCTTCTGAACAGGTAACTTTGCTGGTTATAACTGTGGCGAGTGTAGATTCGGCTGGACGGGGCCGAGCTGTGAGCAGCGCAAAGCTCCCGTTGTGAGGAAGGACATTCACTCTCTGAGCCCCGCTGAGCTGCAGGAGTTCCTGGACGTTCTGGATCGGGCCAAAACCACCGTCCACCCTGAATACGTCATCGCCACACAGCACTGGCTGGGCCTTCTGGGACCCAACGGCACCGAGCCGCAGTTCAACAACATCTCCATCTACGACTTCTTCGTCTGGCAGCACTATTACTCTGTCCGAGACACATTACTGGGTGAAGAGCTGTGAACGCAGGACTCAGCTAAATAGTAATATGAAACCATAAAAATAATCAAATAACATTACTAAAACTTAAACAAAAGTTTTAATTGAAAATATAAAAATAAAAGCTAATTCAAACATCAATAAATACTATAATAGTACATAAATAATCCAAAAAGAGCAGTACAATACTTTAAATGTGATTTAAGTGTCCAAACATTTTTTAGGTCTTTAGGTTTTCTTTTTGTCCTGACTGAAACTGAATCATATGAGTTATGCATAGGAATATTTCTCAGAAACTAATTTCATCAGTTCATCAGATGGAAACCCACATACATTTCGCTCATAGCCGGGAGTGTGATCATCTAGGGCTCTAGATGAGTTAAATCCATTGAGGAACGTTTCCTCAGGGCTTTAGTGCAACAAATAGTTCCTCTGTGTCAGGTGACTACCACGGGACAGCCGTAATAATCCTCCCATGTTCCACTTGGCCAGAGCATATAAAGCACTGATGGGCTTGAGCTCTGTGAATATGCATGTGATGTGTGGAAGGAAAGCATTATAAACCGTCAGCCGTTACCGATACGCTCAGAACCGCATGTAATCCTTAATAACACATTTATTTGTGATTAGTAGCGTGCTGCGGCATTTGAGGGAGAAACTGAGAAACTTAAAGTGGACTGAATAAGATCCTCCAGATATGAGGAGATCGATTGTGTTGGCTGTGATTTACAGTCTGGGATGGACTTACCTGACCGAGGCTCAGTTTCCCCGAGTCTGCTGCACCGTGGAGGCCATCGTGTCCAAAGAGTGCTGTCCCGCGCTGGGATCGGATCCGGACAACGTGTGCGGGATTCTGTCCGGCCGGGGAAACTGCAGCGATGTCCATGTGGACTCCAAACTCTGGGGAGGACCGTACAGGTTAAGAAACGTGGACGACCGCGAGAGATGGCCGACTAAGTTTTTCAATCGGACCTGTCGATGCTTTGGTATGCAGAAGATATTATTATCTTTGACTTTCTGATAAATTGTTGAATTTATGGCTGTTTGCATGCTTAACCAGGTTGTTCTGCATGATATACCTGATATCAACCTGAAATATATATTATGATATATATCGCATTCATTTTAGTGGAAAAAACAGGAATAAAATGATATATACATTTTTGTATATATACATATTTATATATGAAGTTTAAATTTATATACATTCATTTTAATATATATTTTATATATATATATTAAATATACATAATATATATAATATTCTATATACACACAATAATAATGATTAATATTAGCATTACATACACACTACCATTCAAAAGTTTGGGATCAGTAATGTTTTTAATGTTTTTTCTTTTTATTCATCAAATAATCCTGAAAAAAAGTATCACAGGTTCCAAAAAAATATTAAGCAGCAACAGTTTCCAGCACTGATAATAAATCAGCATATTAGAATGATTTCTGAAGATCATGTGACACTGAAGACTGGAGGAATGATGCATGCATGATATATATATATATATATATATATATATATAAATTAGATTTTACTATTTGTATTAAATTGTGTTGTATTTAATATAAATTAATTGTATTACTACTTTTTAAATACTTATTTTTATTTATTGAAAAAAAATTATAATTAAGTGTGCCCCAAATTTTTCATTGTAAATATCCCTTTGATGAGAATATCATAGGGACACATTAGCAACCGCAAATCTCTAAAACTAGATTGAATGTGTACTAACATATTCTCTTCTGAACAGGTAACTTTGCTGGTTATAACTGTGGCGAGTGTAGCTTCGGCTGGACGGGGCCGAGCTGTGACCAGCGCAGGGCTGCTGTTGTGAGGAAGGACATTCACTCTCTGAGCCCCGCTGAGCTGCAGGAATTCCTGGACGTTCTGGATCGGGCCAAAACCACCGTCCACCCTGAATACGTCATCGCCACACAGCACTGGCTGGGCCTGCTGGGACCCAACGGCACCGAGCCGCAGTTCAACAACATCTCTATCTACGACTTCTTCGTCTGGCAGCACTATTAGTCTGTCCGAGACACATTACTGGGTGAGGAGCTGCTGTGAACGCTGCTCCAGCTGCTCTGCTGGATTAAATCATGAAAAATCCTCCAAGAACCAGTGAACAAATTCAATAAATAAATGACTTCTTTCAGACCGGTGGTTTAAATTTCACGCCTTTTAATTTTTCTCCATAATTGACAGGCAATGATTTAAATCAGTATTAAACAGCCCTACACTGAAAAAAAGGATACTAAATTTTTTAAAGGTAATTGATTGCAAACTATTTATTTTAGCTACATTTAAAAAATAAAACACATTGAAAGTCAGTCAACTAAATTTGTTTATTTAAATGTAGCTAAAATAAATAGATTGCAACCAACTTAAAAAATTTTAGTAAATTCAACAGATTTCATATGGCACAAGAAATTACATTTATTTTAAACTTTTAATAAATTGTCATTAAATTGTATAAGTTTGTGATTCCAATTCATTAAACATGCTTTTTGAAAAATCATTTAAATGTTAAATTGGACAATTAACAATTAAAACGTCAAATTAAATTGGGAAAAAAGGAATTTGTGGGGGAAAAACAGGCCCTATTATTGTAAAAGTTGTAATAAATCATTAAATTGTTAATGTTTAATGACTTCAATTGATTAGACATGCTTTTTGATTGATAAGCATTAAAACAAAATCCACAAAAAAATAAAACCGAAAGCATGGAATTTGGGGGAAATAAAATGGATTTCATAGAGTCCTAATACTATTATGAGATCAAATAGACAATATGTGTTGTATTATGTGCTTACTTCACCTACTTCACTTCACTTTTGACGCGCTCTTTTCCGGCAGGTCCAGGACGTCCTTTTAAAGCCATCGACCTTTCCCACAAGGGTCCGGCGTTCATCACCTGGCACAGATACCATCTGCTCAGTCTGGAGAGAGAGCTACAGGTCATTCCTGCATTTCTTGGTCTGTTTCACACCGAGTTTCTAACCATCAGCTAATCATCTAGACATCTGACAAGGGGTCAATGAAGTTTTGGGCTGTTGCACATAGTGACCACATCAATAACGTCTGAACACAATGTCCAAACTAAAGGAAACTAAGCATTAGGACAGAGATGGGGAAAAAAACTTGTATTGAAATCTTGATAATATAAGTGAATTTGATTTTAAAAATGCAAATTTTAATATAATATAATTGGATATAATGCAACATTTTCACGCCCCTTAAATAAGTTCACTTTATGGCCCTTCATGGGACGCTCAAATACAACAACAACAACAACAACAACAAAAACACCTGGAGTAAAGTTGGATTTTTTAAATTAATTTAATTTGTGAATAGCTAATCACTAAGAGGCTGCATACCAGATTAACACTGCTGAAAATGATCAATAACTCATGGCAACATATTTTTTCATATACTTCAACCAATTTCAATCAATTAAAAAGTAATAGAAAAAAATATGTATTTCATTGCTTTAATTGAACCAAATTCAATAGTTTAACCAATTCCAACTTCAAGTTACACAAAAGACAAGATTTTATAAAATTAGTTGAAATGACTTGATCAATTTGATTGTATCATTGTAAAAAAAAAAAAAGAAATTCTGAATATCCTGAGGAATAAAACAATGATTATTTCATTGCTTTACTTACCAATACATTGTAATTATTTGTGAAATTTTCTAGCACTTTCTAAGTGAAAATTGTTTCTACACCAATTTTTTACTTAAATATTACACTTTACTTAATATTACTTAAACATTTACGCAACAACTGCACCTACGTTTTTAAGTTGAAGCAGTTTAGTTTTTTTTACAGTGTTACAGTGCACATTTTTTCTTATCGGATAAAAAGTTTATCCTACTCAGATAAGTTTTTTATGCGCATCTTGGCGTTTCCATCCAGCGTTTTTTTATGCAATATTCCAAAATGCGCATAAAAATAGGTGGATGGAAGCATAGCTACTCCTGATATTTTCTTCTCATCTTAGAAACTCACAGGTAATGAGAACTTCGCTGTCCCGTACTGGAACTTTGCGACGGGACGGACGGAGTGTGACGTCTGCACAGACTCTCTGCTCGGAGGACGGGACCCCACTGACCCGTCCCGTATCAGCCCGCGCTCCAGGTTTGCCCGCTGGGGAGTGGTGTGTGACAGGTACGTTTGCTGGTTAGTTACAGCATTTCTGTATAGCTGTGTTAAATTTCCAATTAATCCAAATTTAATCAAAATAAATAAATATATAAACACAAAAACATTATATTATAATAGATGTTTCATCAAGGACCAGTTTTTTTGGAGGCATTTAAAGTGTGAAACAGACTTGCATATTTACTCATCTGCTGTCTTCGACATCACATTTCAGATCAAATGTGTCAAAATCTAGTGAAAGATTATATTATCATTTTCAGAGTAAAAGTAGCATACATTTTGTAAAGTATTAGAAAATGAATTGAGAGCATAGAGAAATGCATAAGGGGCCACTAAAACAACATTCCTTGCATTTTCTAAGTTTTAGTAGTTTTATGTACTTTTGTCACTTTCATTAGTTTTTGTTTTCAAATATTTCTAACTTCTCTTTTTTCTGTTTAAATTTTAGTAATTTTTGTACTTATTTTAGCAACATTTAATGCAACAAGTTTTTTTAGTTTCATTTTTTTCATCTAATATTTCCATCTGAAATATTTATATTTTTGAGTATTTATTTGAATTGCTGAATATTTGTATTATTGAAAAGTATTTTTTATTTTATTTATTTTATTTTAGTTAGTTGCAAATACCAGTGTTATTTTAGTATCCATGAGATATAGTTTTTTGTAATTTTTTTCAAATTAGATTTTATTTTTGTTTTCTGCTTGAATTTTAATTTTTGAACAAGTAATTTTGTGTTTGTTGTTGTTGTTGTTTTTTGTCATTTTCATAGTTTTTGTTGTTTTTACATGTCTATTCATTTTTATGTCAATTTTAGTACACCAAGGTAAATAAAAAAAATAATTGTTGCTTAGCAAAGTAGCTGAAATAAAATAAGTAAAACAATTTATATTTGATTTCATTTCGGTTATTTATTTATTCAAAATAATGAAAATGTTTTTTATGGTTTTAGTTTTAGCTAACTATAATAACCCTGGTCAAAGCAACATTTAATGCAACAAGATTTTAATTTTAATTTTTTCATCTAATATTTATATTTAATTTCAGATTTATTTAAATTAGTGAAAATGAGTTTTAATAGTTTTAGTAATTTGTACATTATTAAGAGCCTTGATCTAATCAACACTGTGACATTAATGAATTGAAATATAACATATTATACGTAATGGCATTTAGACAATAAATGAATATAATAAAGAAAGGCACAAAATGCTTACTATATAAATATAAAAATCGCATAACATACAAAAATTGACAAATAAATAAAAATATAACATCATCCAACAACAATTCCTGTAGAAGTTCACACAATGTTTTTTTTAAGATTTAATCTTTATAAATTGTCACTTGCACTTGCCTTTTTATGACTTGAGAGTGACCAGTCGTTTTTAATGGTTTTTTAAGGAAGTAGAGAACAATCGTTTGAATGCACCAGTGACTGACAGACTCCCTGAGTAGTGCACTTGACTTACTACTAAACTAAGGAGCAGAATGTGACACACCCTCCGTCTCCACACAAAAACTACTACATCGCACCTGCTGCTCACACTGATCCAGAATCATGCCAGCATGTAACATTATGTAATGCCGTGCATCTTTTTCTTTCAGTCTGGATGAATATAATCGTCTGGTGACCTTGTGTAACGGGACCAGCGAGGGATCTTTGCTCAGAGGAATCATGGAGAGCACTAACGTGACTTTACCAACCATGAATGATGTCAGAAGCTGCCTGAACCTCAGAGACTTTGACAGTCCACCATACTTCACCAACTCCAGCTTCAGCTTCAGGTAATCCAGTCGATCACAGCCTTAAAGGAACTGTTCATCTAAAAAAATGTTCTGCTCACTCTCAGATCTTGTCGATCTCATATTTTCCTTCATCCAGGCAAAACAAAACTAAGTCATTTATAATGTTAAACTCCAAAAATAACAAAAAACGCCATTAAGTATATATATCTATATGTCTATCCATGACATAAATCATTATTAATAAAGATCTTAACCATAATATAAGTAAGTTTCAACGACAATAATTAATTTTGCCTGAAAGAACAAAGCAGACCATTCTATAAATCCCTTAACCCTATAAAGCCTACTGTTTCATAATTGATATGTACAATTCTAAAGCCTCTAAATGATAAACATGATCAAAACCTTGCTATAAAGCCCATTGCACACAATCTACTCCATGCCTTCTGACGTCTGATTTAGCAAGTAAAAGGTCTTTTAGGACAAACGTGCCTTTTTGCTCTCAAATCTTGACTGATTTTTGTAAAAGAAACATAAGAATAACTGTAGTCATATTTCCAGATGAACTCGTACTGGACTGAAGCAGCTCAGATTTGATTCTCAATCACCCATTTTTTTTAGAAAAATCAGTGCATCTCAAATCTGATCCTCAGGATCTTTTGAGGAGCGTTTGTTTCCAGAAGCTTTACTTTCACTGTTCCTCAGCGGAGGAATGATCTTCACAAGCCTCCAGAACATCTCAGGAGCATTTATTTCTTCAGCTCTCAATCAGCATTGCATTTCATTATATGTTTGAATAATTTCAATCTCATCTTACTGAGACATATTACTAGAGATATAGAGTGACGACGATGTTTAGGTCACTAATTTATGTAAGTATCTGCTATTCTGTTTTAAAGATCGCATTGATTTCAATTACAAGCATCAGAATTTCATCACTTTTTGACCATATAAATATCAGCATCTGCACCAAATTGTGTAATTTTGCTCAGTTTGAGTCTCTATAAAACTAAGAGTGTTTTCCTACATATTCATATACAACAAAAAAATACATACGCAAACTTTTTTTAAGATTTAAAATATTTGGTTTAAAGGCTCATGGTTCCTTTTCAAAGAAAATTAATTTTTCAGATTATTATTTCATATGTCGAGGTTTACAGAATTGACCTGATGTCTGCGAGTTAGTTTTGAAGTTTTCTTCTACCTTTCCTTGAAGGAACGCACTGGAAGGATACTACAAGCCAGACAGAGAGCTGGACAGCTCTGTGTTTAATCTGCACAACCTGGTTCACCTGTTCCTCAACGGGACCAGCGCTCTGTCCCACTCCGCCGCCAACGACCCAATCTTTCTGGTAACACACAAAACACATTAAACGACAATAACATCACATCGTTCAGTGTACATGAGCTCTGGATTCTGGATAAAGACATGTTCTCTCTTACGGCCGAATAGGTGCTTATTTATTTATTTATTCACTTTTTAACGGCTATTTTCATGGTGATCTCTGAATAAAGTATATACAATGTATACAATTTATACAAAAGGTTCTAAAAGACATTTCAGATGTACACAAGACAAAAATTCCAAAATACATTCAGGTGATACATTTTTTAAAAAATCAGTTAGACACACCTCTGAAAAAAAAACATTAAAACCATTACATTAAAAACAGTACAATCCAATGAAATGTTTCACAGTCATTTTAGTTTGGGCATGATTGTGGTTCTTCACCTTTTAATGAATATCCATGTGTAAGTCTTGTATGACCTAAAAGCCACCTTGTTAAAAACAACTTGGTCATACCTAGATTTAAAATTAGTAAAAAAAAAAATGTCCAAATAGGTGCTTCATACATTCACTGATGCCATATTTGAGGAATGGATGAGTCGCTCCCGTGAAAACACCAGCTTCCCAGATGAGATGGCCCCTATCGGACACAACCGGCATTATAACATGGTGCCCTTTTTCCCTCCTGTGACCAATGAGGAGATCTACGTCGCATCTGAACAGCTGGGGTATTCCTACGCCATTCAACTTGAGATGAGATGGCCCCTATCGGACACAACCGGCATTATAACATGGTCCCCTTTTTCCCTCCTGTGACCAATGAGGAGATCTACGTCGCATCTGAACAGCTGGGGTATTCCTACGCCATTCAACTTGAAGGTAATAAACATGCTGTCAATGCACATACTATAGGAATAATTTTGACAAATTCTGTCATTATTTACTTACCCATATTGATTGAAGAGCACAATAGTGATCACGACTGTCAAGCTCCAAATAAGACTAAAAACAACATAAAAAAGCACCATAACATGGTCACTTTGAACTGTTGTTGTATGCAAGTAATGATGCAATCCAAATTATTATTTTTTTTTTTTACTGAAACAAAATTTTCATTAACCAAAAACAAAAATTAAGTGTATTTAATAATCAATTAAATAATCAACACTCAAATAAAAACTGAGTTGAAATTGCACATAAGGCAGTATTTAATTTAATGCTAGCATTTTATCAACGTTTTAATGATATTATGTTTCTACCTCAATTCGTTAATATAAACAATGGTGTCTGTAATAAAATGTTTTCATGACAGATTAATTCAAACATTACATATTAAATAATGAAGACAACGGGTTAAGTAAAAATATAATGAATATGTAGGTTGCAACGGGGCTAAAGGCCCACCTTAAGAAAAAATTTGCTATTCACTGCGCCTAACATGTATAATTGCAGAAAAAATATATACGTTGTATTGAACATTAATGGAGCAACAGATTTTGTGTGAAAATAAATCATTCAAGTTGTTTATTTAGTTTAAAAATCTTATAAATGTATGAGGTGGCAAGAGGGGCCTTTTACCCCCACACACGGTATTGATACAAATACTTCAGCTAAAATAATGTTTTTTTTTAATAATGTCTAAGTTAATACTTGTTCAAAACAATCACTTTAGCAAAGTTTGTACTATTTTCTGCTTAATTTGAAAAATAAAATAAATTTTTTTCAATAAATATACTGTCCCGTACTGGAACTTTGCGACGGGACGGACGGAGTGTGACGCCTGCACAGACTCTCTGCTCGGATAATCTGAAAATATATAAAATATATTTTAAAATACAGAAACAAAATCATTTTAATAAGTAAAGATTCTGAAAGTATTGAAGGAGATCCAATAATCAACAAATGATATTTTATTATATGATATGATTAATATCATGTTTTTAAATATGATGGTTTAATTCTAAACATGGTGATTATATGACATAATATGGGCGCCCATATTAGCCATCTATTAATTATATCATGTTAATTACTGTGCGCCTTTAGCCCCAACAGCAGGGGCGCTTTTTACCCCAAATACCATACTTTTACATATTCTTTCGTTATTTAAAAACTGTTGCTTTAATTATCTTGAACAAAACTGAACATCATAAAGAAGACCTTTGTTTCAAAATATATGCATTAATTTTATATGCATTAATTTTAGCGATTCTCATTTGCTACTTAAATCCATTTTTTTTTTTTTATTCCGTGGTGGAAACTAAACAGGCTTTCATATGTAGCCAAAAATTCTGTGTTCCACGTAAAAATAACACCTTATGGGTTTGGAACAACATGATGAGGAATAAATAATGAAAATGTTAATTTTAGCTGAACTATTCGTTTATTTCATACCTGATGTAAATTCATTAGATATTTTTAAAACTTCCCTTAAAACATTTTTTTTTCAGGATTGCTTTTATTTGATTAGTTTTCTATTGAATTGTTCTTTACTGTTTATCTTTTGTTGTATTTACAGTGCATTGTTCTATATTGTTGTTTTTGCCTTTGTGTAAAGCTTTTATGTAAAGTCGCTTTTTACCCCAAATACCATACTTTTACATATTCTTTCGTTATTTAAAAACTGTTGCTTTAATTATCTTGAACAAAACTGAACATCATAAAGAAGACCTTTGTTTCAAAATATATGCATTAATTTTATATGCATTAATTTTAGCGATTCTCATTTGCTACTTAAATCTACAACATTTTAAAAAATATTGTGTGAGAGGCCTAAAAAGTTGCAGTTACTTTTTATATTTCATGGCTGACAAAAAAAAAAAACTGAATAGTGATATGTAAACTGGAAATTGTGAGAAATATTATTGAAATTAAATGAAATTAAGGATTTTCTTCACAATTATATATCTTGCAATTAGGCCTATGTGTTTTTATCTCACAATTCTGAGTTTAAATTGCAATTGCAAGAAAAAAAAAATTGAATTGTGAGATATCTTCTTATCTTTTATATATTATTGAATTGTTCTTTACTGTTTATCTTTTGTTGTATTTACAGTGCATTGTTCTATATTGTTGTTTTTGCCTTTGTGTAAAGCTTTTATGTAAAGTGCCTTGAGAAAGCAACTTTTAAAGGTGCTATATAAAATAAATGTATTATTATTATTATTATTAAATGTTCTGTAGTTGATCTTTCAGTATGCATGTGTGTGTGTGTGTGTGTGTGTGTGTGTGTGTGTTTCAGAAACAGACAGCAGGCCGGCCATGTTTCTGCTGAGCAGCACACTAGGAGGAATCTTCTTCGGTCTGCTCCTGCTGCTGCTTCTGTCGGTGCTGTATGTGCAGCAGAGGAAAAGACGCGAGTTCGAGCCTCTCCTGAACGCAGAGTTCACCACCACAAAATACACAGAGGAAGCGTAATTCACATCCACACACATCAGCGGCCCTGTCCCAAATCCTCATGCCCTGAAGTGAAATGGTTTTGGAACAGATCCAGTGCATGCAGAGCAAAACACATGAAGATGATTGCAAAAATTCACTAAATCACAAACTCTTTTGATGGTTGGTTAGAGAGGAGCAATGATTCAACAAGTCTGCTGAATTGTATCAGCCGCCATGAAATGTATAATAAGCACTTGAAAATGCAAATGAGAAAGCACATATTTATATACACTACAGTGTAAAAAAATTCCGTAAAATTTACGGTAAAAAAATGGCAGCTGTGATGTATCTACCGTATACCACAGCTGCCGTTTTTTCACCATAAAAAATACGGTAGCAACATTTTAGGTTTTACGGTTTTAACTTAAATTTACAGTTAAAAACCGTAATTTCATTAACTGATATAATGTTAATATACCAACCTATTGAAGTACTGAAATCTGTTTTGTACCTTTGTAATACACTGATAACCACAAAATGCAGGTGGTGATGGAAAAAGTCCAAAGCTCATCACAAGCAGCTTTTAAATAATAACATATATAGAAGGTGCACAGTGTCATTCACACAAACGCTAAACACCATCATGCTAACACATGTGAAACTGAAATAATGCAATAAACATTCATTTAACAACATTAGGTGTAACACACAATCCTAATATACAAACCTGATCAGAAAAAACTAAGAAGAAACATAGTTATTTCAACAAAAAAACATACAATTTGAAATGTAATGCAGGGAATTCTGGGAATGTCAATTTACGGTTATTCACTGTAAATTATACGGTCTTTTTCACTTCCAAAAACGGTATACTACCGTAAAATTACATGTAATGTCCAATACAGTTTTTCACCATATATAGTAGGGGAATTCACCGTTAACCATTTAACATTTTTACTGTAGCATTTTTAGTATTTTACCGTTAAATTCACAGTCATTTTTTTACAGTGTACGGTTCAAAAGTTTGGGATTAGTAAGATTTTTATTCAGCAAGGATGCATTAAATTGATAAAAAAGTGACAGTAAAGAAAAAATGTATTTGAAATAAATGCTGTTCTTTTCAACTTTGTTCATCAAAAAAAAAACTTTTCATAAAAATATCAACTTTTCAAGATGATGTTTCTTGAGCAGCAAATCAGCATATTAGAATGATTTCTGAAGATCATGTGACACTGAAGACTGGAGTAATGATGCTGAAAATACAGCTGCGCATCACAGAAATAAATTACAGTTTAACATATATTCACATAGAAAATAGCTACTATAAACTGTAATAATATTTCATAATTTTTTACAGTATTTTTGATTAAATAAATGCAGCCTTGGTGAGCACTGAAGAGAAAATCTAAGTCACCCCAAATGTTTGAACAATAGCGTATATCTTTGATTTAAAAAATTGTGAAAAATCTTGGCCTCATTTTTGTTTGTCATGTACTGTATATCATGTTCTTAATAAACTTAAGTTTAATTGTAAACGTCATTCTCATATTTTTACATGACAAAAACATTATTCCTTTACTATGCTACAGGTAAAATGTCTGTGCCATTAGTTTTAAAGGAACAGTTCACCACAAAATACAAGTTTACAGAAGTTCATATGACTTGTTGTGCTCAAGTCTTCTTAAGTCATATGATGTTTTATGTAAAGAACAGATTAAAATCTGCTGTAAAAGCTGTTAAATATCCTCCTGCCAGTTTGAGTTCACAAATCTCATTCATGTGACTGATCACTGAAAAACACAACCGACAACGAGAGCTGCGACAGAGAAGATTAACAGAGAACAAAAAATTTAATTTTAGTCTGTTCTCAGACTTTACAGTTTCGGAAAGCAAAAGCTCAGACACGCTGCTTAACAGCTTTGTGTTTCATGGAACAAAGAAAACAATAGAGGTATAGTAAATGATGACAAAATATTGATTTTTGGGGTGAATTATTCCCGCAAATGTAAATAAACTCCTGAACTATGTAAAACAACCACACCACAGACTGAAAATCACATTCTCAATTTAATTAACATTTAATAATAATTAAAAAAAAAACATTAGTAAAGATTTTTTACTTTTTAGTAAGAGGATTTTAACATTAATTCTATGGTGCTTTTAGATGAAGACAGGGATCACAATACAAAAACTGCATGTTTTCAAAAATTGATTGAACATTTGATTCACCTGCTAACAAATCTTTACAAACAGCACAGGGAACATTTAAAAAAAAATCTTTTTTTGTCGCACAAGTTTGATGAATTCATGTTTACACACCAAAAACTGATGAATGACATCCAAATGAAGCTTGTGTAACATATCCAGTACATTTCTTCAGTATTTTTTTGAAAATAGTAAATAGTTCCTTGAGCATTTCACAATAAAACACCATTTGAGTCAAGATTGAATTTAAAATGACTACAACTTGAAAAATCTAGCCCATATACTGTGTGTGTTTTTAAATGATCACTTATTTCTTTCATTTAAAAAAAAAAAAAGTGTCCTGATTTGATTTAAATTTCTTTATGGTTAATAGTTAAATGAATATTTCTATAATACTGCTATAAATCAGCTTTGTTTTCCCTGTAGCAAAGTATGTGTTCCCTGTATTGAA